ATACCTGGTTGAAAGGTGGAAAATACCACCCCCGGAAGCACCGCAGGCACTCACTAGACCCATACTGGTGGAATTCGCCATACGACTCCATAGGGATCTGCTACCATCCCCAGCAGACTTAGTGTGGAGTGCCACTAAAGGGCGATACAAAATAGTCCCTGATAAACCTCAAGTGAGGGAAATGAATAGAAGACCGTCAACTTACAAGACGGACGGAGAAAAAATTCGGGCTGCGCTAAAGCAACTGCCCAGGCTACCATGAGTCTTAGCGAACCCAAATGCGGTAATGATTGAGGACATCTTGGAGCACCTCAGGTCAGGAAATGAGACTCCAATGGAATCAAATAGTACCGCATCCGACCAGTCATATCATCACCGGGACCAGCATATGTTTTCAAGCTCCCCGAGCTAGAGGAAACGGTGGTCGCAATAGCAGCTAGCACCGTAGATCAACCAAAAAACGGGCTGTCTACTCAGTTGTTACGCTGCAGGAGAAAATCCGAATGACCAAACACCACACTTTAGGGCACAGGAAAGCATTGATACCATTACACGCAAATACATGTAGTATTAGGAATAAGTGAGCAGAGCTGGCCACACTGGCTGCGGGAACAAACGCCGAGGTAATTGTCCTGTCCGAAACGTGGCTAACGTAGGACGACCACATACCCGAACCAGTCTTAAGCCGGTTCACAGTCCACAGACAAGACAGGAAAAAGGCTACATTGGGGGGGGGAGTAGAGTAGCTGTTCTAGTCAGACATGATATGCTCCACCATGAAGACAAAATAGCGCAGTGCGCCCGAAATGTCCAAGTGTGCTCAGTTTCGCTGGTTATAGGTTCGAGGATGGTTAGCATAGCAGGGGTCTACAGAAGCCCGGAATGCACACCCGAGGAGAACCAGGTACTCCTAGGCGCCTTAGATAGCTTATACAAACAATACCAAGACGTTTGTATATTGAGAGATTTTGATTCCCAAAAAAGGAGTAGGAGGTTGAGCGGGCGCCAACAGGAACGCCAGAGAGCGCATTCTTAGAATGGATGTATTCGAGGACCCTAGAGCAACTTGTCCGAGAGTACACTAGGTACAGAGATGGAGATATGCCATCTCTGCTGGACATAACAATTATGATGAGGGAGGGGGATTTGACAAACATTACCCTCCATCCACCGCTGGATGAAAGCGACCACGTCGCTATCACCACAGCAATAAGTATAATACACCGTAGAAGTAATTTTGGGATATCCAGGACCTACTGGGTGATAGATACGACAGGGCTGAAGGCCCGAGTTGTGGAACTGGTTTGGGCCCCTATCCACAAAAACGACTCTATAGACTAGCATTGGGGCCGGATCAAGGCAAATACCTTGCTCCTGCAGGATGAATTCACTCCCCTGAAATCTGGGGCAGCGAAAAACAAACCAACTTGGTGGAGCCCAGTGATTAGGAGAACGATACAGCGTAGAAATAGGAGTTGGTTCACCAAAGGTCAACGGGTAGCCACAGATCCTGGGAGCAGTACACCAGGGATAGAAACAAAGCAGTGGCAGTTCAGCAGGAGCTCAAACGACAGTACGAGCTCAAGCCGGCAAATTGTGTCAAATAATAGCCAAAGAAGTACTACCGCTATGTTCAATCTAAGGGAGGGCTCAGTGAAAATTTAAGTCCTTGGATAGTGGAGGATGAAGAAGTAGTAACCCATGAGATGGATCTAGAAGTGCGATTTAAGGACTATTTCAAAAGCGTACATAGGATGGATAAACTCGTCACTACACAACTTGACCTCCATACCCCTGGACCGGGTGTTCCCGAATTACACGTGGGGCTGGAGCAGGTGCGCAGGACTCTTGGTGAGCTTAACGCTACCAAATCCGCCGGACCAGATGGCATCCACCCAGCCTTAGTTAAACACAGCTGAGGCTCTAAAGGACCCACTCTGCCACCTGTGCAACAGAACACTAGACCAGTGGAGGATGCCACAGGACTGGAAAACGGTAACTGTGGTCGCCAAACACAAAGGAGGGCGGAGACAAAAGGTGGAAAAATATCGTCCAGTTAGTCTCACAAGTATCTTGTGCAAAGTGCTAGAGTGAAATATCAGAACCCACTTTTGTGAATACCTTACTCAGCACCGATTGCTGATTGCCGCATAGCATGGGTTCCTGGAGGAAAATCCTGTCTCAGAAGTATCCTATCTGAACTTTAGCAAAGCATTCGAGTCAGTATGTAATCGCTTACTTTTGGCCAAGATAGATGCCCTAGGGAAAAGGGGTATCATCCACAAGTGGCTAACAGCTTTCCTGACCGACCGGACCTTCCATGGTCGGGTCAGAGAAGCAAACTCATTAGTGGAAACTATTGCTAGTGATGTTTCTCAGGAATCAGTTCTAGGTTCAATCCTTTTTTTGCTGTACATCAATGATCTTCCTGAACACCTTGGCTCGCCCAGCTTTATATTTGTGAACGACTTGAAGGTTATAGGATCAAATGGGATAGCGGAATCAGGGGAGGGAAATAAGAGAAGTGCTTAAGTGGTCAAGTACATGGGATTTGCCTCTCAACATAGAAAAGAGCTATGTCTTGACCACTGAAGACGAGGGGCTGATAGTGAGGATTAGTTATGATAGTCTTTCACTAAGAATGACACAGAAAGCTAGAGATTTAGGAATCATAGTGACAGAAGACTACAAATGAGCAGAACAGTATGCCTCAGCGACGCACCATGCCCGTAGAGAGCTTTTTCGATTGAGGTCGACACTAACATGTAGGAAACCGGAAATATTGGTACTTCTATACAAGGCCATTGTTTGACCGCGTTTAGAGTATTGTATACAAGCCTGCGCTACCTTTTTCAAAAAGGACGCCGCTTGTTTCGAGGGGGTTCAACAATTAGCCACAAGGATGATCGAAGGACAGCGAGGGAAGTCGTATAAGCAGAGACTGCATTACCTTGGGCTACCTCCTTGGAGTGAAGAAGACTCCGAGGTGACTTGATAGAGACATTCAAAATTATGAAAGGCTTATCAGGGACGGATCAAGCAATGTTCTTCGAGAGGAGAGAAAGCAATACTAGGGGGCACATTTACAAGCTGAAGAAAGTCTGCACGAGACCAGTGGTGGGTTCAAAATTCTTCAGCCATAGGGTAGTCAAATCATGGAATAAGTTACCACAGGAGCTGGTGGAGCTAGGGAGTGTACAGGCTTCCAAGAAGGAGCTCGATAAGCGCTGGTTCAACTTATTTTCCGAAGTAGACGCATAGATGAAGGTCTGGTAACAGTGGTAGTTTTTTTCATTTACTAACCACCCCAAGAATGGAACGCTTCCAAATGTGAGGTCTCTCAGCTGAACAAGGGGAGAAGTTATTTTTTCTTTCTCTCGCTGACACGGCGAGAAATAAGGTTTCTCTTTCTCTCTGTTTGCAGAAGAGATGGATGTACACCCGTGAGCACACCACCGAAGGACATCTGGACGCTTCATTTGCCGTGGCTATCTCCTGTCCAGTGCAAGCTCACTGACTGACTGACTCCCAGAAGCAGTGATCAAAACAACGAATAGGAATAGCTTCAAACATAAACTTGCTGACTGTATTGCCTTTTACGGAGTAATCAATGCAGGGTTTTCGACCTCCCGATTTTAGGCTCCTCTTTGTTGAGCATGAACTATGTTCTGTTGCAGTTTCCCATCCCCCTGCCAGACAGGGCGTCTAAATCCCTTACCTTATTTTTAAGGTCAAGGGCCCTGGGGTTTTTCACCCTCTTCTGTAGTGGGTGGTTCTGCGCACTGGTCGACGCACAGATACCTCCATCTCTCAATTTCTTAACATATTTCTTCGCTTTTAGTGTACCCACATGTACTGGCTTACATTCTGACTGTGAGCCTTTGTGTTAAGTAAAATGACTTTTTACCTAAAACTGCCTACTTTTCGAGTATTTTCAATTAGGGGCATCTCGAATCAATACTAATCTCGCGGAGAATAATCAATAATATGGCGTCATACGGAAATATTCACTCTGTCCGTCCCTCTGATTCGTGACCTATAACCGACTGAACTTTGCTAACTGTGTACTTGATTGATGCAATCTTTTTCTTGCATTAATCGATGCTATTTTGAGTCACATATAAGCATCAGTGTAAAACTTGTAAATTGACTTGCTTCCTGTATGCCAGGTACACGTTCGCTGTGCACTATCTATGTTCTTGCTTACATAGCTGGGAGAAGGCTACTAGTGCTCGTGGCGTCCAAACTGTGCTGTGGTCGTACTCATGGTGCTAGACTACTAGTGTGGCCGTTAAAGTACATGTGTTCCTTGTGTGTCATCGTGTGATATCTTGTTGTGTGTACATTGTGATCAATCGGGATTCGGACTAAACAATTGGCGACGGGTATCTCACTTAACGCACAATGTCTATATCCGCGGAAGAACTGAAGTCAGTCCTGCAGCAGAAGCAGCAGTCGCAGTTCAAAGCCATGCTACGATCGCTCAGTCTTCAGTCAACGAACGCCCCCAGTTCCAGACAGGTCACGCCAGCAGAGGTGATCGCGGCGAGCATCACCGAGTTCAGTACGATCCAGACTCTGGCATCACTTTCGACTCCTGGTTCACCAGATGGGAAGAACTTTTCCGAGTCGAATTTGCTAACGAACCGGAGGACGGGAAGGTCCGTCTATTCATCCGTAAATTGGGTGCCAGGTCTTAGGTTTGACGACCTGTTCTCGTGGTTTCCGCATAGAGGCACGTGGGGGCATGACATACGGTTGCAGTGAAGCCGCTCGAGGCTGCAACTGAGAGGAATGCTTTTCACTAACAGGGTAATTCCGTTGTGGAACCGGTTGCCGCTGCCAGTGGTAATCTGTAGCACTGTAAATGCGTTTAAAAAGGCATTTGATGAGGTTTGGATAGCGGTTTTCCCTGAGGTAAGCGCTTAGTACTACCTATAACCTAACCACAAGGGATGTGATACTGCATCACAAATTTCTGCCTTTCAGAAAAATTGCATATGGACGTGTTGGAGGCCAAGGAAACTTGCCGACAACACACAAATCTGGACGCCCGAGTGGCAAGAGCCACAATTCGTCCTGTGAGAACTGAACCTTGTGGTACGTTCGCGCCCGGTTTGAATTTTCAAAGTGCTCGTGGTGGAAATTATTTTTACTCAGCTAATGGTGAAATATCAATAGATATTTGAAACAATATATAGTGAAATATACACTTTCATTATTCGTTTTATTTTGTGACCTCAAAAGGGCCACGCCTTCAAACCATCATATAAAGTTAAAGGTAAAACATAAGTAGATATTTCATAGGCTTTTACTCAGTCGTTGTATCGTACAGTCGACCCAACTGGTCAAGCAGTTTTACTTTTTGGAAATTTTTGGTCCCGTTTTACCGCGAGTTTCAGTCATGTTTTGGTTGAGTATTTTTCCAGGGGTTTTTGCGATTTGAGGTGCTTTTCCTAGATATTGCTTTTCCCGTACGATACGCGATTTGTATTTACTGTTACTAAAACAGCCATGGTACAGCATCCTGACACGTGCGGAGCCAGCGGTTGTGGTAGAGCGGTTACTAATGCTATCCAGCGTAATAAGTGTGGCTCGTGGTACCACGAAAAATGCTGCAAGATGTCAACGCAGTGCTATGCGCTGCACCTTCAATATTGAAAATTGAAGTGGATATGTGCACACTGCGAGTCTCTGATAGAGGAATGTTCACGCATTTTTAGGGGCTGTGACCACCAAGACACCACCAACCTCCAATACTCGCGCACCGAGACCAGCAACGAAGCAGGTGGAGGCGGTGATTCCTAGCGTTAAACATACTATGAAGAAGAACAATGGAAAGGAGAAAATCACGAGCACAAAGGGAAAGAAACCATGTAAACGGGCTACGGTTCAATCTTTGGAGTCCATACATGTGACTGCACGTATAGAACAGTTGAAGAAAGATCTCCGAAAATTGCAACGCAGCACTAAAGCGCTACTGCGTCAAACGAGAAACGTCTTGCTGCATAACTTTTCGGAGCCAACGATTCGCGATACTAAAGCTCGACGAGAGGCCGATCGCCAACACGTTCAAAATGTTTTCTGACTGGCGGGTATACCAGCCAATACGCTCTATAGTAAGTGCCACACGGTTGAGTTGTGGAGGTAAAACCAGACAGCCTGACCTAGACATAAACTGGTAGTATTTTACAATGCATAAGGTCCGGACCTTCTGCTCTCTAGGGCGTTTGCCGTGGAAATGAACACCAGAGAGAGCATCAAAGCTCCCTCTGATATAGTTCATTATGCCCAGCGGGGCATCATCTCCATTAATCCTGCAACAGGAATAATGCAACAAAAAAAGCCCGGAGTTATTCTGAGCAAACTAAACGCCCATATGGCGCATGGAGTAGGATTGGTCGAGGCATGCCAACGCACGGTGGTCCATCAAAGTCTATCAGCTGGGTCACCGTTGAGCAAGTCCACACCCCTAAACCCCAAACCAGATGGGTAAAAAGGTGGAGGCAGAACGGATAAAAAGCCAAGGCAGTCCCGAAATAGAGTCTCCGGGAAGAAAACAGATAAAAGGAGAACAGACGGCCGACTGAAGACCACTCCGTTGGAACCATCCAAGGCTGCGGGAATTAAAAAGATGGGTGAGTTTACGGTTGCTGATAGCAAGGCGAAATCAGCGTCCGTGAGTTGGACGACAGTGGTAGCAAGGAATATCCAGGACACTCCCCCTCTGAGTAGGACACTATCCCTGCTTAGAATGTAGCGAGCGCCCACGAAAAGACTTGGTGAGGAATTTGGATTAACCCTCAAAGGCATAACGAATCTGTGAGGGTCATTCACGGCGTCGGATAGCCCGGTATCCGCAAACATAGTATCAAAAAACGTAATAGCTCCTCGAGCCCTGTGTCTGGGGATCCATCCCAAGCAATAGAGAAGGGTTGTATGAAGGTGGAGATGGACACCGCCACAGTGTGGTATGCTAACACCTGCATTGTTAGGGGAAAATGGGGAGAGTTAGCGACGCGCGCCCAAAACTCGGTGATAATAGCTATCACTGAAACTTGGATGCGACATGAGCAGGATGTAGAGAAGCCCAGAGACTACTTGGCTTAAAGGCAAGATGGATTGGACGGCAAACAATGCGGAGGATTACTCCTGCTGGTCGAAGCCGCTTACACTCAATGGGATTCATTAGTAAAACTAAATACACCTAATGTTCAAGCCAAGGCGTGTAGTATGCTCTTGTGGAGACAACCGGTAGGAGTGCTACTAGTCTTCTGCGCACCCCAGACGGAACCCACAGAAGATATAGAACTACTTGCTACAATGTAGGAATTCCTATCGAGGACCCAAAGGATTTTTATTCTGGATGATTCCAATATTCCGGAGATCTGCGGGCTAGAGGGAGAGACTCCCGTTGGGACAAAGGGAGAAAGTTTTCTAACACGGCTACATGAGCATACGCTTATTCAGCATATCATGCAGGCCGTAAGGTTTTGCAACCAAACAACAGAGGGCTTCTGTCCTGAACTCAGTTATAACGCGGTATTTATCGGACATATTTGAGGTAGCAGTGGAGAATCTACTGCGTAAGAGAGACCATGGGGTGCTCAGATTAGTATTACCCTTGAAACACAGCAAACCGGCTGCCCCACTTAAACGGTGCCGTGGTTGTATAAACGCTGTTGCCCTCCAAAAGGCCGCAGAATACGTAGATTGGATGCCACCAGCTCCCGAGCCAAAGTTGGAAAAGCAATGGTCTGTCTTTAAGGTAGGGCTGCTTACACTGACCGATAGGTTTGCACCCTTTCAATCTAGGAGCTACAGGCAACGACCAGCTTGGTGGAAGCCACAGCTAGATCTGGCACTAGTAGTCCGGAGAAGATGCTGAGCCCGTTTTAGGGCGTACCAGACTGCCGATGCGTAGTCGATCTACAAGAGGGCAAGCAAGAGAGCACAATCCCTTCAAAGGGATGCGAAGTATGAACATGAGAATAAGTAAGCGCAAAATGTAAGGCATAACCCGAAAAGGTTTTATGAATGTGTGCAAGAAAATAAAGACACTAAGGAGGGAGTAGGTACACTGGAGGTAACGGAAGGCATAATGGCCACCACCGACCAGGAAAAGGCAAATGCACTCTTTACGTTTTTCAAGGGAACTTATCGGCCACCTACAGCAGGACAGAATGTAGACTGCAGCCTGGTTAAAACAAAGGAACATTTCGCGGCGTTCATCCTATGTGAAATCGACGTGGTCCGAGAGCTAAACGCCTTCAATAGGCATAAAGCAGCAGAACCGGATGGATTGCATCCCGCCACGATTCAGCTTCTAGAAAATGCATTAGCGAGACCCACCAGTAAGTTAGTTAAGGAGTCCATCGGTACTTGCAGGCTTCCAGAGGACTGGAAAACTGCAACCGTAGTGGCCATCCACAAGTCAGCCCCTGGACACCACGTTTGCAACTATAGGCCGGTAAGTTTGACCTGGGTCTTCTGTAAGTGTCTCGAGCGGATAGTTAGGAAACAGATATGTTCTTATCTGATGGCTCATGGGCTTCTGATTCAAGCCCAGCATGGATCCGTCGAGAACGAATCGTGCCTAACTAACCTGCTGGCATTTCCAGACGAAATTACAAAACGAATAGACGCAGGTCGCCAAGTAGAGGTTTGCTACCTAGATTTCAGCAAAGCTTTTGACTCTGTCAGTCATCAGCTTCTAGATCTAAAAATGCGGACACTAGGGATTCTAGGTAAAGCAAGAGAATGGATTAGACAGTTTCTCAGCTGTCGCACATCCAGTGTGAGATTTGGAAATTATACAACCGAGCCTGAGGGAGTATCAAGTGATGTCCCACAGAGATTGGTGTTGGGTCCGCTATTATTTTTGATCTTCAATAACGACCTTGCGAAAGATCTCCAAAATCCTTGCTTCATGTTCGCCGATGATGTGAAGTTGGCTGGGGAAGGACTGGAACAGGATCTAGCTGCAGTTCGAAGGTGGTTGGATAAGTGGGATCCGTCACTGAATCTAGGTGTCAGCTCTTGATCACAAGAGCCAATAATGACACGAGAGGTGTGATGCACCTGCAGCATGTCTCTGAGGCAAAGGATTTAGGGGTAATGATCACGAACGATTTCAGGCCATCCCTACAATGCAAGCGTGTGGCTAATAAAGCCCGACACGAACATTCCAGGTTGTGCGCTGTTGTAAGTTGCAGAAGACCTGAGGTTTTTGTACCGTTGTACAAAACTATAGTGCGTCC